ATGATTACTCTCCCGAAGTCTAAAGTACTCAACACTTGTTGAAAATTAAATACTCTAATTCTATACCACTAAAAACAATAAAATCGCAGGAAGGACATAAAAGAAAATGCAAGATTTGTAGAGATTCATTTCAATTTGAAACTACGTCATCGTCAGTCGTTGCAGTAATTTTTACTATAACGAAAAGAAGTTTACAAAAGAAAAACCGCACATCCTATTTTCTCTACAACCTTCACTTCCTCTTCTACCGTAACCACACTACACCAAAAAATAGCTTTTGCAACACATAAAAGGCAACATTTGGTAGTTAAATATTGCTAAAACGGTCTATCGCAACATTTTAATACGTGGATGTTGCCATTGCTTAACAAAATTGAGCTTTGACAACATTTTTTAAGTGAATGTTGCTAATGTTACCTTTTTGCAACGTTGCGAAAGACGTTTAAAAAACATTGTGAAAGATTTTGCAACGTTTAAAAAAAAAAAAAAAAACGTTGCAAAAACTCCACAGCCCTCTTAATAAAATCATTTCAGCCCTGGCTTCCTCACGTCTCTCTTACCTTTCCTTTCTTCTTCCTCCGAGTTAAATGTTTCATTAGCCACTGAACTTAGTACTATGTCACAGACTACTCACCGAACTTCAAAACTTGTCTCGTTGGCCACTGAACTTCACTCCGTCCAACTCCATCACTCACCGACTAAAAATCGTTAACGGAGGCCCCTACATGGACGACGAAAAGCTTAGCTGCCCAGTTAAATTCGTCCAACTCGCCAACTCGTCGCCACGGTAGCAAAAATTCGTCCAAAACCTATCTCCCTAAATCAATTACCCCCAAATCTTCAGTTGCAATTGATTACCCCCAAATCTATCTCCATAAATCGAACCCGTAAGCGTGAATTCCGTTTTCCCCAAATCAAATCTCTCCCGAATCGAACCATTAAGCGGGACAACTACTTCGAAACTCGTAATCGTGAATCACGTTCCCCCCGAATTGAACCCTAATCGATGTACTTGGTCGCAGTGAACAAACAAACCGCCATTGTTGAACATTGTTGAAGGCGCGCACGTGGATGCTTCACTTGAAGGTATTTTCGAAACTGGTTCTTATGTAGCTTATTAAATCAATTGTATTGTTTAATTTTGTGAAGCAGCCATGTACTGAAGTCCACATTAAATCAGCTAATGAACCTGTATTGACTATGAACATTACATTGCAGAGTTGTATATTTTTACGGCTTATTTTAGTTTATTTCTGAACAAAAAGATTAAAAAAAAGATGGATTTTGTTGCTGAACTGTAAATATTGGTGCTTATTTTTATTTTTCCTGGCTTATTACAGCCTGCTCAGTCACTGTTTAAACCATTGTCTTTGTATTTATTTTCTATCATTGTTATTTCCATTATTAATGGTGGCTCAAATTTTGATAATTTGCACTCATTCTTGCTTAATGTGGTAATTGTATAACAGAATGGATTTTTCCTTTTTATGTTATTTACATTTTTGCAATTTTTGAAATTATAGACATGATCTTAAAGCTTTCAGATTTGTGAGTTTATTCCACAGATTTCCTTTTTATATTATTTATGTTTGTGTATATATTCCACAGATTGAGCTTGCTGACAAACAAGCAGCTGTGGAAAATTTACAGTGGGACTATTTCACATTATGCTTGAATTCATGCATTTTGTTGGAGTTTTAACATAGTGATGTAGAGCTGCTGGAGCTGGAGATGAAAGTTGAAGCTAGAGCAGAGCTAGCTGGCAGTACAACACGAAAGGAATGCAAGGAATGCAACTGGAGCCAGTTAGATTAGTTGTCCACGTGTCCATTTTGTAATGCTATGTGTAGCTGGAAGTTAGTTAGTTCTGTTGATTTTCCTTCTATTTATGCATACTGGACTTGCAATCTATGATGTAATCTCTTTTTCTGAATAATACAATTTCATCATTTTACTCTAATATGTTGTTATGAGTTTACATAGAATGGTAAGGCATTGCCTCCTCAGTCTTCCCCAGTTTATAGAACGCAACAAATGAACGCTGGAATGAGGCAAAGCCTCGACTAATTCTGGAACTCCATTTTTGGTGTTCTATATTCTATAGATTTAACTTTACTAAATTGTTTTCATGGTATAATTCTATAGTCTTCCTGGATTGAAGAAAGCCAAATCACATATTTGATTAGAATATTTGGTCCCAAACTCAAACTCACCAAAGAATTTGGCACAAACAGATGACTTCACAAAATATCATGTGCTATTACAAGAGTCAAATTAAGATGATTTCACAAGCCACATTACAGTTCACAGGTCCGCACCTAGAATTTCCAGACATACATACAAACACCACCAAGAGCATTAATCTCAAAAGCATGTTTACCCATAAACCATCCACAATTGTTCTCTTCTTAGTTTCAACCACAGAGTCAGATGTTTTCTTCTGTTTATAATCCTTCCTCTTCTGCTTTGACTGCTTATCAGTCCTTTCAGCACGAGGTCCACAAAAATATTTCAAGTGAATTTTCAACTAGTGATCATAGAATAGTTTTCCACACCATTGGCATTTTTCTTTAGGTGGCATCAAAAACTTTCTGTAATCAGCCTCAACAATTGAATATGTAGTTATAACAAAATCATACTCAGAAAACTAATAAATATTCCTTCTCTGTTGGATCCAAGATAAACAAGCACCTTCATGCTTCCTTTCGAAGTGAAATGGTCAATCTCACTTACCCATTGCAGCACAGCTACCAGAGGACATATAACAAGTGTTCCTTTAATTATAGGAAACCTCAGCAGCGGCATTATCAAGTCAGATGGAGGATCAACAGTTTCATCTACCATGTCATTCTGATTGCTCAAATCAATGTCTTTTGCCAAATTTTCTGCAACCCATCGCTCATTCTCTTGTTCCAATACTGCCCACATTAATATGGGTCTATCCTCTTTCTTCTTATTCTTCTTTCTTTTACGCATCTCTTCTACTACTCCAAAAAAATCAAAACTAAATTCATTCCCCTCAACTTCTTCCTCAATAATCCCATCCATATATCCTTCTCCGTCTCCTTCCATGCCACTGTTCTCTACTTTACGACTCTGTTCTCCCTTCTTCTTCGAGGAGTTACTTTTCCTCCTCTTTGAAACACTGTGCACAAAATCATCATCACTAATTTCCATTGCAGGCTCTTGTTCTGAGCTACGAATTGAATAGATTTGAGGACCACAGCGACTTCGCGTGAGATAATTGATTTGCGAAAAATTGATTTCAGGAGCTTAGGGTTTGGTAATTTCATGGACAATGCTGTGTTTTTTTTTTTTTTTTTGATCGGTAACAATGCTGTGTTTTATTTACATATCAAAGCCGTGTTTTGTAGACTAATGTTTGACGTGGCGATGATTGGGAGCTGATTTGGCACTCAACATACCATAAGGAAGGAGTTAATTGGACAGGTCACTATTCCGTCCTCCACATCAGCAACAATTCAAGCGGCATCCAGTCGGGTGAGTGATGGACACTAACGGAGTAAAGTTCAATAGCTAATGGGACAACTAATAAAGTTTGGTGAATAAACCGTGACATTGTGTAAAGTTCAGTGGCCAATGAAACATTTAACTCTCTTCCTCCAGCCTCAAGAAATGCACCGCCCTCCTCTCTCCCATGGTTGATGCCAGTCACTGGCCACACCCAAGGCACCGGCTCCAACTTCCAAGCTCCGTGCGACCGCGCCTCCCCCCGTTCCAACTTCCAAGCTCCGTGGCTCGTCCGGCTCCACCCTTCCTCACTTCTCTCTGAGCTCTCTCGGTCAGGGCCTTGTTTTAGAAATTTAACCGAGAACTTGATTTCGTGTTTTTTATTAATAAAATGGAATTCTTTTTGTGGATTGCGTTACGTTGTCCGGAATCAGATGAATTTGGAATGAATGTAATCGAATTGAGGTTTTAATTTTGTTCTCCATTTGGCATTTGTTGTGTGATTTGTGATGCACATCTTTTAGTAATAGAAGTTGAAGCTTGCTATTTCCGTTATTTTATTTCCTCAAAGTTCATTATTTTATTTCTCTTTTTAATAATTTATTGCTTTAGTATGTGAAGTTGCTTGATTATTTGTTTATGAATAGTTAACTAAAATAAAGATGATTTTATTTATTTTTTTCTGGCACTTTTAGCTATTTGTAGAACGTGATTGAGATGATTCTATTTCTGGAGAGGAAAGACTATAAAATTAAGTGATATTAATATCAGTTGGATCCTGGATTTAGCACCATTTAGCCATTGTACTAGTCCATTTGCCAGTTGATCTTTTGCTATAGCCCAGATTCCAAGCAAAGTACATATTTCCTTGATGCTTTGTTTTGTAGTTAACTAGTAGTCTAGTATTAAATCTGGTAGCTCTGATTATTGAGCAATAGTGATGTTAGACCATGTTATTTGTTGTTGTGGGACCTGATCACATACAATTATTATTTCGAAAATTTTTGATATTCAATATTTTATGCTAATTTCTCATTTCAATTAGTAAAAGTTCAAGCATTAGATTCTTTGGTCATCTTAACTTTTTGCTTAGATGGTGACTCTTTTAATTGCAGAGTGAAACTAGCCTTAAGATAACCACGAATCGGCTTGCTGGTATTGCATGCCTTATGACAGTCTCTGACCTTGACCATACAATGGTGAGTTCTGATTTTTTTCGCAATCATTCAAATTGGATTGGACTAATATGAGAGTCTTTGTTGTAGGTTGACCATCGGTGGTGATCCTTCACCTTTATTGGTTTCTTTAGTTTTCCAGCCATCGATGGCTTCTGATTTGTCCTGATAGCAAACGAGTTTTTAGCTCCAGGAGCAGTTTCCCAGGAGTTTCCTGCAGATTTGCCCCATGAACTACTGACAGGTCGTTTAACTTTGTTAGATTCTTTAGATAAGCCCCCATCTGTAGCATTAGATTTCCGTTTCCCAGTCGTGTTCTGGTTTCCTGAAGCAGATTCTTTTTTCCAACCAGCTGTATCCCTCTGACCAGATGGTTGCCCCTACCGAGTAGATACATCCCCAGTAGAAGCATTTGATGTTTTCCAGTCACTACCTCCAGCACTGCTTTGACCATCCTCTATTTTAGCATCCGCTGAATTGTTCCATCCTCTAATAGCTTGAGCGTTACCTGCACCATCCGCATCCCCTTTTGATTGATTCCAACCTGAACTCCAACTTCCTCCTTGAAATGAACTGCCTCCAATGCTGCCCTCACTCCCCTAGGAGTCCAACTTCCTCCCTGATTGTTTATGTATTTGAGTGGCTAAACAAGCAGATACACGAATTTGAACTATACCCAGTTGACAAAACTTTACAACAAGTATAAGGATAAGGGTCAATCCCTTTTCTCTATATTTCTTTTTAGATTTATTTAAGCTATTTATATGCAAGACCCATAAGTAATTTTACTGGTATCTATATGTGTGGGTGTGTAGGTGTAGCTTTGCTGAGATTTAAAGAGGGAGTGGAGAGCGATCCATATGGGGCTTTATCAGATTGGAATGAAGAAGTTGGAGTGGAAAATCCATGTTCCTGGTTTGGCGTTTGGTGCTCAGATGGACATGTTGTGGTTCTATAAGTAAAATAGTCTTGTCTCGAGTCAAATGTTAAGCAGACTTACACGAATGAATCACATATAAGAAGGCAACAAATATGCTTACTTGGGAAAAGTGTCATACACCAAAGTACACCAAAGTACATGTGAAGGTTCCTTTTTGTTGGCCTTGGGGCAAAGCTTGGGGATCTTGTAATGGAATAAGAATGTAGCTGGTATTTATTGTTGGGATTGTTGGCACTGCTAAAATGTAGCTGATGCTGATAAGAATTGTTGTCTGGAAAGAGATGAATCTGTTATAAGGGTTAATTGAATGATGCCTAAATTATGAAAATGCCGCCGATTCTTTTTTATTCTTGCAAAACTTGCACTATATAATACTTTTTAAAAGCACCTGCTATTACGAGCTTTTCTACTTACTAATTACTAGGATGAGCTTGTTTTGGGTAAATTTCCTCTCAATTTTTGAACTAGCATGTTTTTCGCACTTCAATGTTCAACTTTAAATATGTTATTGTTATGCATAACATTGATGCTAATATAAGAACTTCTTGGTTATTTTCTTGCAGGAACCTGAAAGATCTATGTCTGAGAGGCACTCTAGCTCCGGATCTCGGGAACCTGGTTCATGTGAAATCTATGTAAGTCACACTAAATTGATTCCTGTTTGGATAATATCTGCAATCCCATTCTTGTTGTCTCAGGAAAGTAACTTCTATATTTTCAAATGTACATTTTACATAATTTTGATTTATTTTAACTTGCTTTACAGGATTTTACGCAACAATTCTTTCTCTGGTCTCATTCCAGAAGAGATCGCTAAGTTGAACGAATTAGAAGTATTGGACCTTGGATATAATAACTTCAGTGGACAGCTTCCATGTCATTTTATCAATAATTTCTCAATAGCAATTCTGTAAGTTCACAATACAAGTACCTTACTCAACACTGAAACAAACTTTTTGTGCTCTCCATAATGGGCATTTTCTGTGTGACACAGCTTACTGGACAATAATGTGCTTCTTGGCAAAATGCATCCTGAAATTTATGAGCGTCAAAAGCTATCTGAAGTTCAAGTGGATGGATGTCTGCTATCCAGCAGCACAGAAATACCATCTTGCAGTGACAGATTAATCTCAGGGTACATCTATTTACTATTTAGTCTATTTGACATTCTTTCCTAAATTGTAAATGTATTCAAGCGAAGGCTTTCAATGGAAGTATTTCTGCTCGAATTATCTTAACCTTTTATGTTTAATCCTTATCAAGATCGTCAGAAAATTCTTTCTGTCTGGTTTAGGAATGTTATATTTTTTTAAGAAAAAATGACTTGGAATATATACTTGGACAGTAACAAAAAGTGTTTGTCTGTCTCACTTGGAAAATTCATTTGATCTTGTGCCAGTTACTTTTGCCTGTCTCATCATAACTAGTGTTCTCAACAGTACTGTTCATTTTATGTTTTCTTAAATCATTTCAGAATCAAGGCAAACATTTGCATTTTGTTTTCCAAATGTGCCCCCTCATACTTTTTCCCACTTCTAAGGGACTCTTGCCCCTGATTGGAATTTTAATTTCTAAAAGCATCTATTTTTATTTTCAAGTTTACAATGGCATTGCAACATTTGCAGGAATTTAGGACAAATGGGAGATGTAGCTCAACGGAAATTGTTAGAAGACCCTAAATGGCGATTTCAACAGTATTTTCGCCCGCCAACACCGCAACCCACATCTGGAATTTCTCCAACACAAGAACCATCCCCTTCTCCTTCTCCCCCTCCAGCTTCTTCTCCTGCAAGTATTTCTCCATCTTCACTTCCTAACCCAGCAAAAAATTCTTCTGAGACAGCTAAAAATTCTGGGCCAAATCATCAGAGAGTTCTGATATTATCTGGAGCTATTGGAGGTCCTTTGTTACTTTTGTTTATAATTGCTGGCATATGGTTTTGTCAATGTAGTAAAGTTGCTACTGTCAAGCCTTGGGCTACGGGATTAAGTGGACAGCTGCAGAGAGCATTTGTAACAGGTAAAATTTTTTCCTACTATTACACATCAGCATGTTTCCTCAAAGATTGTGTCTACACCACTCTCAATTTTTCTTTTTACATTTTTGGTCAAGTTGAAGTTATATCTAATGCTCTTGACTTCCTTTTCTTCTTTTAGTACTATGTTTCATAATAAACTGATCACTATGAAAATTATAAACCATCAACCAACAATTCAACAATATTCGTGTCTCAGGGGTCCCAAAGCTTAAGAGATCAGAACTTGAGACTGCTTGTGAAGATTTTAGCAATGTAATCGGCTCTTCATCAATCTGCACATTGTATAAGGGTACACTGTCCAGTGGAGTTGAAATAGCTGTTGCATCTCCGGCTGTTGCCTCTGCAAAGGACTGGTCAAATAGTCTAGAAGTCCAGCTCAGGAATAAGGTACTTTGATGTGATTCCTTTAAGAATTTGTTTGTTTCATGACAGATTCTCGTTGTTTTTCTGTTAATAAATTCTGATATCGTTTGGCTTCAGGTTGATACACTTTCAAAAGTGAATCACAAAAATTTTGTCAACTTAATTGGATATTGCGAGGAAGAGAAACCCTTCACTAGAATGATGGTTTTTGAGTATGCTCCCAATGGAACACTCTTCGAGCATCTACACAGTGAGTATTTAATTTTCTTTTATTTTTATGCACAATGGTGTTTTAATTGAACAATGAGCTCTGTCAACATTTCGTCTGTTGGGCCACTTTTATTCGAGTCATAATTATGTTCTCGCTTAGCATTTATTGCAATAATTGATATTCATTTCATATCACTAATACGGCTTGGTCTAGGTGATAAAATATCTACTCCATGAGAACTAAGTTTTGTATGTGAAGGTTGTTCTTTTACCATCCATTCCATGACGATTCATGAGATTTCTAACTCTTGTGGATTCTGCAGTAAAAGAAGCTGAACACTTGGACTGGGCAATGCGACTGAGAATAGCAATGGGGATGGCGTACTGTCTGGAGCACATGCACCAGTTGACACCGGTAGTACCCCACAGGAACTTGACTTCTTCAGCCGTATATCTCACTGAAGATTACGCAGCGAAAATATCGGATTTTGGCTTCTCGGGTGATGGATCTTCAGATGAGATTGAACCAAATCCGCAGAGTAATGTCTACAGCTTTGGGGTTGTACTATTTGAGATGATAACTGGTAAACTGCCTTATATAGTTGGTAATGATTCACTTGATGACTGGGCATCGGATTATCTTAGAGGAAGTCTGTGCATTAGAGAAATAGTGGATCCTACTTTGACATCGTTTCAAAAAGATCAACTCGAACAAATTGGTAGTTTGATCAAATCATGTGTTAATCCTGAGCCGAGTCAGAGACCATTGATGAGAGAAGTTGCTACAAGATTGAGAGAGATAACATCCATAGCACCTGATGTAGCGATACCGAAACTGTCCCCTCTTTGGTGGGCAGAGCTTGAGATTCTGTCTACTGAGGCTAATTAAATGCATTAAGAGTGTAGTTGAGCATTATTCTTGGATGCAGAAAAATTTACCTATGTGGTTACTGCATGTTTGTACATGAGGTGAAAAGGCTGGTGAAATTTCTAGTTAACTCTTTGTTAAAAAATGTCAAAATGAAGAGAAAAATATACTTGAAAGTAATGGATATATGTATATTCCCAAATGAGGGAAAAGGTAGTTCTTTTACTTTTTGTCAAGATGGTTGGTTGTTCTGGTTTATTTTCACATAATGTTTATCTTAAAGCTTGCTTTTGTAAAGAATGGAAGATTGAGAAGAGAAGCAAGTTAAGAGAGAGTTGAGGGAGTTTTCCACTAAGTTAAAAGCTGAACTGAGTTTTCAAATGTATTATTCATCCGTTTCGAGCATGTAAAACAAACTATCAAGGTATAGAATGGATTGGAGATGCTCCTGTATTTGATTAAACGCGGTACAACAGCCACAAATTTATTCAAAGCCAGTACTACAAACCACCAAAGTTTGACAGACCGGATGATGACGTCATGATACAGATAAGAGCCAAATGTACAGAATAATTGTTTTCATAATTCTTACCGACACTCACAATCCTACTAAAATAAAAAATGCCAAAAAATCTGACCCACCCACCCCTATTGTGTGTGTAAATGGTCTGTGAACCATAATTTCTGTATGTCAAGCAAGGTTCGACAGATAATGGTGGTCAAGAGCAACAGTTGTCAATGTTTCTGCCTTTGCCAATTACAGAACTCTGAAATTTTCCCTGCACGTGGGGGCAATTTCCTTTTGGAATATAGGGACAGAGCTAGAAATTCAGATTGAGGTGGGCTAAAAAATATTTTTAACTCGAGTTGGGTCCGCTCTGTTCAAACACCAGGAGTTAGGATTAGCACCAAGAGAGAAACGCATGGCCGTCTTTACTTCTATTGAGAATAGTGCTATTGACTACTCTGTTGAGTTTCGAACCTCTGAGCTGCTTAACTGATTGTGCTTCCAACAATTGTTAAAATCGCGTTTTACTTGGAATGACACTTTTAT